TCCATGGTGATGTCCGATTAGCCATGAAGCTTGGCATCTCTCAGATTTTGTAAGCACACGCCACGGTACGAGACTTGCAAAAAAGTAATGAGAGAGAACAAGCCCATTTCTCAATATCGCTACTTCTTTCACGACAAAGTTTCGCCCGATAATGAATCCTTGCAGATCCACAAATGTTGGCGCGATCATGCTGATAATATTACCGTACGATTGCAAGAATGATGTACGACTGTTGTCGATCGTCAAAATCCCAATCTTTATATTTTGACATTGGAGGGGATATTTGCTGATCTAGGTAATTTTACGAACTACGTTGGTCAATGGGCAATATTCGACAACGCGATCGTGCAAATGGAGGGGATATTTGCTGATTTAGGTAATTTTACGAACTACGTTGGTCAATGGGCAATATTCGACAACGCGATCGTGCAAATGGAGGGGATATTTGCTGATTTAGGTAATTTTACGAACTACGTTGGTCAATGGGCAATATTCGACAACGCGATCGTGCAAATGGAGGGGATATTTGCTGATTTAGGTAATTTTACGAACTACGTTGGTCAATGGGCAATATTCGACAACGCGATCGTGCAAATGGAGGGGATATTTGCTGATTTAGGTAATTTTACGAACTACGTTGGTCAATGGGCAATATTCGACAACGCGATCGTGCAAATGGAGGGGATATTTGCTGATTTAGGTAATTTTACGAACTACGTTGGTCAATGGGCAATATTCGACAACGCGATCGTGCAAATGGAGGGGATATTTGCTGATTTAGGTAATTTTACGAACTACGTTGGTCAATGGGCAATATTCGACAACGCGATCGTGCAAATGGAGGGGATATTTGCTGATTTAGGTAATTTTACGAACTACGTTGGTCAATGGGCAATATTCGACAATGCGATCGTGCAAGATGAGACAATAGGCGGTGGTATTTGCCGGTATATCCTCCTTGCACTCAGACTCTAATCTCACGTCCACGGTGGAATTTTTGACAGACTCGTTTTGTCGCGAGCATTCAATAACTGCGAGAGAACCGCAATGTAGAAATTTTGAAATGTTTAATAGCACATCATCATTATCACATCCGTAATAAGATTCGCGAAAACGAGAGTACATATCGAATAAGAGGGCGAATCTATTTTTATCGAAATCTAAATTCAAATCATCGTAGGGATAAAATTCCGAGTTTAGATAGAGTTTAACGTTGGTCAATTTGCAGTCGTCGAATGTAGTAATATCTTTTGACACAGCATTTTTTCTGCCAGTCTGCAGCGCAAAGATCACGTATCGCGGCTTCTCCAGCTGAGAGGCGGCTTTCACGGTCCACGAATGCTTGGTCGTATTATGCAATAGAGGAAATTCGTATAGATCCCAAGAGCGAAAACTCATATTCAAGTATCGCCCGCTTTCCAACGCGCGTAGCAAGGATAGTTTGTTGACCTCGCTCAATATTACATGTGGCATACGCCATTGTATCTTGAATAATTCGATATCAGCTTCAGCCGAAGCATGTCCAAATATGCAATTGTTGTCGTTGCGCTAACGTATTAGAATTAATTCGTGACGAGCGTTGATCACAACTCGCTTATAATCTTCGCAAAAACCCAATAGTATGTTTAGCGGCACGCAAAAATTGAAGTAAGCTTCAGCAGCATTATGCGACATATTCCACGCAGCATTCTCCAAGATTTTACCTTTCTCGGTTGTTAGAGAGACATTGTTTTTAATCGTGGAAGTTATTCCAACGTTTCTGTTGCGGTCAATCTCCACATTGTCGAGTTCATATCGAAGTTCATCAAACATAAACGCGACACAATTGTTTCCCAATACCACTCTTGCCCCTTTATCTACTTTACGCACCCTCAACTTTCCCTCGACGTATAGAAAACTTTCACATGGTAACGTGTACAAATCTTGATGTTGTATCGGTATCCGTATCTCGTCGCTATATCCAAGCGTTGTGTTGGCGTATGGATTGTACGTATGAGTCTCAATCTTGACGATACGATCGTCAAAGATTGGTTCGCCTCCGATATTCAAGATGTCAATCATATTGTTCAAGTATTTCGTACGACGAATCCCAATGATTTTAAAAACTCGCGATTCAACGCGCTGAGCTTCTTTTTAGCGTAACCAGATATCTGATTATTGTCACCCGATACCGCAGTCACTCGCCTACTCGCAAAAATATTGTCCTTCGCAAAAATATTGTCTCTCGCGTGCTTCGTGCTTTCGTTCAACACAAGCATTTCATTTGTCAAACGCTTTATTTTTGCCGCCGCCGTATATGCAATCTTACGGTAATTTCCTCTCCTCGAAAATCGAGCAAATGTCCTTCTTGATCAACAATGTGTATCGTTAAATCAGTAATGCTCCGTGCGACGATCGGTAGATAAATGATCTGTGCTGGCGTTTCCGATATCTTATATCCTGGCGGTACGCTCGGTGAAAATTCATGTATCGTGTGTACGCGCTTGTCATTGCTGTACGCGTTAGTGGTTACGCTGCATTCTATACGAATAATATTTACGCTAATAATATTTATCGGTACATCCGATTCGTGCCATTTCCGAGGTTGTAATATACGATTCGACGAGAATCCCAACAACGATCCAACGTTGCCCGGTTTACTAAAATTTATTCTATAGACACATTTGATTTCACTTTTTAGCGTATTATGATTAGCGCGAAGCATTATTGGATATTCATCGTGTTCTTCGCCATCAACAATATCGTTGGAATCAACTACGCGTTGATGTTGTAAAATTGCATGTCAAAGATATTTGTTTATAGCGTGTAATTCGTACGATCCCTCGGGAATCGTAATTTTTTTATCGTCGTTATCAAAATAAAATTTATTATTCCAAGAATTCACGTTCGATAGCGTATGATAAGTTTCAAAGTCCGTTAAACCAAGCTCGTAATCGCCATCGTTTAAATCTATAGCTGGAAAGTAGCTTACAGCAAGAACGCTACTCTTGCCGGTCAACGTAAGAGTGAGTGACACGCTGGAAAACTGTCGAACGAATACTGAGACGCGACGGTGAATTGTCAGGCTTTATATTCATATCGATCATCGACCGTTTGAAGAAATCGAAGACACAATTGTCCACAAATACCTTGATTATAATTTTGATAGGTCGTGTGATTGTATTCTATATTCGCAACATTCTGTCCAAAATATCGCACTAATTCCTTGGGCCGTCGAAGATTTCCAAAACTATCGAAATATACTACACGATCACCCCTTTTTGCATACGCAACCCAATGAGTACCGGAACCATCGACGTCATCCAAATTGACGATACCGCTCTCATTTCGCCGTATACCGTTTATCGGTAACTTATTGCACATGAAAACACCTCTAAAAAATTGTATACGCATACGTCTTCCAAGTAGTTCCAATTGTACATTAGTTGTTACACCGGCAGGCATTTTTATTTTGACGTTTTTTTTTCTTGGCCGCTGTTGATAACCCTCGTCCGCGCTTGTATGGAGTGAGATAAAGTCCGTGACCTTCCATGGCGCGATTTCGTTGACCGAGATCGTTGCATCGGGAATAAGCTATGTCGTGCTCGCGACACGCGGCATCCAATGGATTGATACCTCGATCGCCTCTAGCCAATCGTGTTTCTAAATGAGTTCCCGGTCCGCAAAACTGATAGCCTGGAATATGTAATTCGACAGGAACTGCGTTTATCGCACGATTTAACAAACCGCTACCTCTTATAATTTTTGCTGGCATTTGCCACGATCTTTTATTAACGGTGTTGGACCGTCGAAATTTGTTTGTTGGCACGGCAAATTATAATGTTGCGTGCATCGACGATATTGTTGAACCTCTGAGTCAGCTTTTATATGTTCGGGAAACTTGTCCCACAATTGTTCCACGTAGCTACCAAAGTCTCGCAGTAAAACAATCTTGGGGATAATCTGTTACTGCTCGGTGGTAAGCTCAAGAATATCGCTGTCAACCGATAGAAGAAGAAACATTTTTGAGACTGAGCAGTTTCTATTCGGTGCGCCTCTATAAAATTGCGGTCCTTCGAGTTGTGGTAAGACTAACGTGTTGATAAGATTAATAGAAAGTCCACACAGTGTACATTTCGAGAATGTGTACGTATACTCGAAATCACTCCAACAACCGAAATATCGATACTTGGAAAATTTGCTATTATCGATCGATGAAATTGTTTATTTTACATTCTCTAATAATAGTGACGTTATTCCACCGAGCGAGGCGCTTCCGAATTCCATTTTTATCTTTGACGACGTGGCATGCGATAAGCAAGATACGATAAGAGAGTACTTTGCAATGGGTCGACACTCGAGCGCCGACTGTTTCTATCTTTGTCAAACGTATGCGAAGATACCCAAGCATCTTATACGGGACAATGCAAATTTACTGATTTTATTTAAACAAGATGGTACAAACTTGAAACATGTATACAACAATCATGTAAATACTGACATGTCTTACGACGATTTTCGCGCATTCCGTCAGAAATGTTGGCAGCACGAGTATGGATTTGTAGTGATTGATAAAGACAGCTTACAGACTGATGGACGATATCGAAAAGGATTTAACGATTTTGCAATACCGTAAAGTGGTTAGTCGCTATTGATACATCTATCGAGCAATGTCTAAAAATTTTCGTCCGAGCGCAACATGACGACGACGATTGACATTGACGATCGTGAAATGATTGCGAGAGAGATTGTAAAAACGAGCAAATCAATCCGCAAAAAATATCGTTCTTTAAAAACCGGTCAAATGGAGGAAGACGTCGCATTGGAGAGGCACTTTAAACCAATTATCGAACCTCTAAAACAACTTGTCAAAATACAATCAATGTGGAATTTAATGAAGCAAAAATCGAACCATCGAGTATGCTCGAAGACAAGCATCTGAAAAAAGAGTCTGGAACAAAGCGAACAAGGTCAAATATATCATTGAACGATTTGCTAATAACTTCTACTCCAAATCAATCAAAACGTAAGCGAATGAAACAATTATCGAATGTGGCTACTTCTACTCCGATAAAAGATGTACAATCGAGTCAAATATTGTACGAAAGGTCGTCTCCGTATGTGGAAGAAATTTTCGAAGCCACGCCTGAAACGCTTGTGACGTCGGTTCAATATCAATTACAAACAAAAATATATTAGTGGCGACAAATGCGCATAGACGTGGCATTGATATGCGTAATCCATTGTTAAGTAACAAGGGATACAAGTATAAATGATGGCGCCATTCTTCTCGTCCTTCATTAAACCCGGTATCTTTTTATTCGCGAGCGGTATACCGTACACATTGTCCACCTCAAAATCGCTGGTATCGAATCTGTCGACGTTGCGCCTTATATTCTCATATACATCGTCACACTGTATGTGATATATGAGACTGTCGGTGTAGGTGTACATGACTTTACAAGTGTTCGCATGCAAATAAACTATGATTATCCTTTCTGGTACAGTACAGATCTTAAACACTACGGGGTGTCGCGTGGCCTTCAATATAATTCCAACTGCCTGACCGCCTTATCCTTGAAAGGACGGGGCGTCGGCGTTCTCGGCGTTCTATCCTTAAAAGGACTGACGCTCCTTAGTAGTCTGAAGGCCGTGTGTGAAGGTGGAATCGGCGCGACACCGGCGGGAATCCTAATGTTTAATTAACTCTACAGTTAGAATGCGCGGTATATACAATGCGGTCTTACAATATGAACAGGTCGCGGTATATACAACGGTGCTAGAGCCTATCAGGACGCGGAGACCGGAGCGGTCTTACTGGTTACGGTATATGTACAACGGTCTTACAATATAGCAGGTCGCGGTATATGTACAAAGCGGTATTACAGTTTAACAGGTCGCGGTATTTATACGGAAAGATACACGGAGACCAAAGTGGTCTTACGGTTGTGAAATTTTTCACATTCATCAGATGTTAAATTTACCATGGGGACATTAGCTGATAAAATACTTTTTACACGCTTCGCTAAATTTTTTAGTTCTACGACGAACCATGATATGCAATCGATATCGCGACGGGAATGATACGCGGATAACGAATCGTCGTACGAGCAATGTACATAATATGCTATGCTAAATACTTTGTGATGCTGGTAATTTCTCTCTTCCTCCGTCTTTTCCAAAACACACTCCAGATCGGCGTATACGACGAAAGGAAGCCGCTCCTTCCGATTATAGTTGTTGGACGTGAGCCACTTGTCTTTATCGCTCAGTAGTCGGATAGCGCACTCGTTCATCTCTCGACAGTCCACCGTATGTGATTGTAATTTGTCATACGAATCAAAGTAGTGCAAACATCTGTAAAAAGAAATACTTTTTTATTTTTTGTTGCATTATATCTACAATGTGATTAATTAAATATATACGTACCGATCGCAGATATGTATTTGGCTTTTATGTTTACTCAATTGCGAGCTCACGAGGCGGGATAGATTCTTGATCCACGCGAAATGTCCAACGTTG